TAGATGATGTTTTTTCCTCTATTGTTCACCAACCGTTTGATCTATTCCCAAATTCTCATAGACTTTTTTCTTTTCTTTTGAAAACTGGAAATCATAAAAAACCATCCATAACAGCTGCTTTGAGGTCATCTACATTTGTTGGCTGCAGGTGGAAATCTCCTTCACAGAGCCTGAAATAGAAGGTTGTAAAATTTGGCCTTTGAGGGAGCCAGACCAAACCAGCCTTTTGTATAATTTATCATCCACAGAACATGTTAAGGTGCTTTTGATCTTTGAAGGCAATATCTTTCGAATTGATGTGGTGCTCATATGTGACCATTGGTCCTTTTTGGGAATCCCAGTATTTTGCTGATTTCAATGGTGAGTGAAGGAATTTTTAAGATGGTACACTGATGACTCAGTTTAATAGAGAGAGACTAGAACTTGTGGAAATCCAATTGTGAAGATCAAATGATAGAAAGTATGTGAGTGGTGCCTTGAAAACAGTAAAGCACTAAGCAAAGCTAAGGCAGTTTATTATAATCATTTCCATCATACCATATTTGTTAAATTCTTGATTTCACAGCATATTGAATATTCCATGCCTTCTGCCAAATTAAGGGGGGGATTCTACCAAATATTTGCCATAAAATGTGTTTTAAAATACATTCATATTTTTCTTTGCATTTTCTTATACTATACCTTTAAGAAATGTGGTATAGACACAGAACTAAAAATTTGTTGTCACAGAGAATGTTGTGAAAATTTATAGGCTTTGGTTTATAGAGACTTGAAGTTTTTCCACCTTTCTGGTATTTTATTCCTGTCACTTTGCATTGCTTCTTTTCTTTCCTTCTCCTCCTCCGCCAGGTTTGGTTTTAAGCTTTGGATTCAAAGAAACCCCAAAGTCAAAACAAAATGGTCAGAACTGCTGACTCTTGTTTTGTAACCATTTTTTAGTCCAGTATTCACAGGAAGAGAGGGTGCCGACCAGAAATTGGGCCTAACTTCACCCAAAATGTTGGCAAAGTTCTGGACCCTTTGAGTGAACTTGTGCCAAGTTAATGATATATAGCAAACTTCACCAGTTTTCCAAAAACATTTAAAATACAATTTCATGAAGTAATATCATCCTGTAAAATGTCATGTTAGTACTCAACATTCAATACTAATCTGCTAGTTCTTTTTGATAAAAATAAAATAGTCTAATTTATATTTTGTGTTAAATAGAGTCTCTTTTTTAAAGTCTTAGGTATATTTTGAAACTGCACATGTAAAATGTACTTGTGGCTTCTTTACCTTAGAAGTTTCCTTTGGAGATCTGTAATTAACAAAAAAGGTACCCTAAAATCATGCTTATCTAGTTTCATCTCACAATTTTTATAGCTATGTTATCAACTTTACAAAAGACTGTTTCATAATGGAAATGCTGACAAATGTGATAATAAACATGAAGCCAAGGGTCTTAATTGTAGTATATGTCTGCATGTAAGAATTATGTATACTAACAGAATATTTGGTTCAGTTTTCAGCACTTAATTTTGCCAAAATCTGCTTTCACATTGGGCAACTAACTGTAAAAGACGATCAGCTTAAATGACTCCTTGTTGATGGTAAGGGTTTCTGATTATTTTTAGATTCCTCAGAAAGCTTAATTACGTCCTCCAAATATAATTTCACTTGGATCTTTTTATGACTTACTTGTCTGAATACTAATAGTAATCTGATAGCTATGGAGAACTTAGTTTGAAACCAAAAGGCAGTATTCCGTCAGTAAAGAGTATTTATATAAATCGCCTCCAAGCAACATCTCAGATGGTGTTCAGATTCTAAATATTCTAAATGTTCAAATGACTTTCAGATTTCAAAAACAAATTATTTTAATTTTCTAGAAGTAACGGACAACATTAGGTCTTTAAAAAAGCTGGTTGAAGTTATTAAAAAGCCAATATCTACTCATATTTTTATCCATGTTGGTTTAGGAGATAATAAACAGTAAAACTATTTTAATATAATATATGAAAACCCTTGTATTAAAAATTAGCTGGGCGTGGTGACATGTGCCTGTAATCCCAGCTACTTGGGAGGCTGAGGCAGGAGAATCACTTGAATCAGGGAGTTGGAGGTGGCAGTGAGCCAAGATCACGCCACTGTACCCCAGCCTGGCAACAGAGCGAGACTCCATTTTAAAAACACACACACACACACACACACACACACAAAAACCTCTTGTATTACAGGTGCACTGATTTTATGGATCTAACATGAGGAAAATTAAAGTTAAAATAATGTGTAGAAAAGTCAAGGGTCAGAATATGGAGGTATTCTCTGTTTAAGTTCAGGATGTGGATCATTTTGTCTTATCTCTATTGATATTTGATGAAAGGAATAGTCAGTTCCTTTATATGTGTCTCTGATCCTTACCTGGCTTCAAATTACTCTGAGTAAAATTATTATGAAAATATCTTAAAAGACTACATTTGAGGCAGTTCCTCAACATGTAAAACTTAGAAATAGCAAAGCATTTATAAACTGTTAAAATTTTTGTATAAGAAGGATGGATATAATTCCTCTAGTGATAACAAGAAAATAACTTTTCATTTAGAAGTTTTTAAGGTATTATTTACTATGTTGAAGAGGTATTCACTGGAGGAATATTATTTGCTTACTAGGAACAAAATATATTAGAATATGAGGGGGAAGACTAAGGACAATAGGTGGCTATATTTACTCCTCAGGACCCAGCAATGTTGATGGTCCCTGGGCTATACAGTTTTGCTTTAATTCTGGTTTTCAAAACTGGTTCTTTCAAAAAAAATTAAGAATTCCTAGATTGGAACTACTTTTCTTTCCTTTTACTTACTTATCACTTTCAGATGATTTTTTTCTTTTTTAAGAATGATGTTTAATTTCCAGGAGAACTTACACTGTTAGAAGAATAAGAAAAAACAACACTCTGTGGGGGTTTCTTGTTGTTTGGTGTTAGCTGTTTATATATTTTTATTTTACCTGTTTATCCTAATGTTCTTATTGTAGAATTGGAAAAATTCTTGGTGGAAAGACACAGTAAAAGTAAAAAAACATTTTGGGAATGGTGGCTCATTAAAGTTTTAAATGTTCAAAGTACTAATGACGGAGCTTGGAAACAGGCAAATTCCTGCAATGCTAGAGGGTGGGAGAGGGAACTGGCAGAACTCACCAAAAAGGGAATCTGGCCATTTGTATCCACAAACTTAAATCCAGAAAATTCACTTCTAGGTATCAAATACTAGGAAACAATAATAGACAGAGAAGACATTTACAAGAATGCTCTTAGCAGCATCATTTATTTTTTTAAAATAAGGAAATAGCTATCTGTAAAGGGCTGATGTTGTCATACATGGATATGACAATAAGATATGGTAATCAAAATCAAAAAAAATTGAATAATATTTAAAGTTAAGAGAAAACATTGCACCTTCTACAATGTCAAGTGAAAAAATATCAGTATCCCAAAGTATCTTGAATTAGTTAAATGTATTGAATTTATAACTGCATGGGGGGAAAAAAGACTGGAAAGAAATAGATGAAAATGCTAACAATACGGTAATGTGGAGTGATTCGATTTTTTTCTTTTTTGAACCTTTGTTTTCCAAACTTTCTAGGAGAAGTATATGTTACCTATTAATTAAATGAATTCTATTTCTGAAAGCATGATTAAGTGAATTAGGTGTTCTCACAGGCGCCCGCCTATTCCTGTACAGAAAGAGGGGTGAAACAATAATCACAGTTGGAATAATCACTGGGGATTATCCTTTAGGATTACTAAATTTATGTTTAGGTGGGCATTATTCAATCGGGTTCCTCTCCTCAGGTACTCCCTCCTTTCTAAAAGACCCCAGTTTTGGCACGTCACCTAGAAGATTCCTGGAATAGCATGGGGTCCAAACTGGAGGCGGCCTCTCAGCGTGGACCCGCTTCAACTTCATCTGCGTGGCAGGCGTTTTGCAAAGCGTCTGAACGCATCTCCTCTTTGGACTTTTTGTCTCTCCTGGTAGTCTCTAGAAGCCGTAAGAGTGAAAGACATCTTTCCTCCCTAGTGCTAAAAATGTAAAAGTGCGCACTCAGGCGGCACTGCTCCTAGAAAGATCCAGGCCCCTTCACACCCTCAACCCCTGGCCTGGGTAGAGTTGGTAGTGCCCGCTGCTCGCTAAGCCGAAGGGCTCCCAAGGCCCGCTGCAGGCCCAGAAGTGACCCAAGTGCACTCATCCCTTACTCTGGCTGGGACCTGAAGGCGCTGAAACGGGAAGCTGATGCTGCACTTAAGATGCAAAGCATAGATTGGCACGCTGGCAAAGACACTGACTGAACACCGCTGTGGCCCTGGGACAAGGAGCTATGGTCCCTCTGGGATCAACTAGGTGGAGAGAGAGAGAGAGAAAAAAAAAAAAAAAGAGGGCTGGCGCACGGGAGAGAGAAAGGTAGGGGAGGAAGAGGCAAAGAAAGACAGGAAGGATGTCCCTTCTCAGAGGTCGCACTTTGTCAGCAGTTCCCCTCGACTGCTCTGCCTTCCACTTTCCCTTCTCTCAGTTCCTGGACAAGCCTTGGAGGACCAGAGAGATGATCCTGAGCCCCTCGCGGCGTCTGCTCCAGATCCTCCACGCAGGCGCCCAGTGGAGCGCCTGCAGGGGATGGCGTCGCACCGACTCTTGAGGCTTTTTAAAAAGTAAGAATTTCTACTTTATTATCTCTATTTAAAAAAAAAAAAGGTAAAGAGGAGAGATTAGATTCTATAGACGCTCTAAAGTCTGCCATTTCCGAGGAGAGTTTGCTTCCCACCCACCCAACCCACAGAAGCAGCCTGGACGGCCCCTCATCCTCACCGGGTCTGACTTCCCGGCTAGTCCCTGACCCCGACTTCACCTAGGGCGCGCGGTCGCGTAGGTAAGAACTCCACAGCAGCCACTCTGCGCGGGGGTCTTGGGGATCTTACAATCCCTAACCCGAGCTCCAGAAGGCCAGATGTTCTGTCTTGGGGCGTCCCTCCTTACCCTCCGGCTGCACCCTGTGCCCGGTCCTGACACACCCCAGCCCGAGCGCGCCCAGACAAGGAAGGGGCAGACTCTCCCCACCCGGCTCAGCCGCTTTCCTTCTTCTCGCAGCTCTCCAAGAGCTCGGTCATGAAGGAGATGTAGACGATGGCCAGGCGGAGGGTCTCGATCCGGGACAGCCTTTTCTCGTAAGCAAACGTGGGCACCTTCCTCCGCAGCTGGTCAAAGGCCTCGTTGAGGTTGAACATCCGCTTCCTCTCGCGGATGTTGGCGGCCTGGCGCTGGGCGTAGGTGATCACCCTTTTCCTCTTGGGGCGGCCTAATAGGGAGGCGCCCCTCCCGCGCTCCTCTTCCTCCTCCTCTTCCCCGTCCCCCTGGTCCACTTCGCATTCCTCTTCTTCTGGGCCCCCCTCCTCAAACCGCGCCATCCTCCTGGGTCTTCCCTCTCGGAGCACAAGGGCTGGATCCTTGAAGGAGACCCCGGGTGCGAAGTCGCAGAGGAGAGGGCGTCTCGGGGAGGCCAGGGACAGGTCTGCAACGAAGCCCAGCACCGTGGCGTCCACGCAGCTCTCGGGATAGGCCGCCATCGCTTCGACTTGGCCCTGCCTCTCATCGGTTTTCCTCAGGGAGGGGCGAGGCTGCTGGTGGGGATTCTTAACAGCCTTGAATCTGATGGGGCACCATCACCGAAGGGCCAGGGAACATTAAATATTTATAACCAAGCTGATAACAGGATTAGTCGCAGCGATAAGGAATGCTCTGACAACATCCCTCCTCTGGAAGCTTATGGAAGATGACAAGCTTGAGCACACATGGAAGACTCAAAGGGACAGGCCTCCAGTTCTGAGATCCTTTTCTCTGCGCCACCCGGGACAGTTCCTTCTTGGCAACAACCCCCAGCTCTTACCTGCTGTGCTTTTTGTGTCTCTTCTCACCCCTGCAGCCAACTAATGTTCTCTAGGCTCCTTATCTCGTGTAGTTCTTTAATTTCGTTCTGGATTTTCAAAGCGAGGATGTTTTCCAGCGCGATGGCTTCTCCTTGACTTCAGGGTAGGAGTCTTGAATCTTGCTACCATCTGCCAATGGATGTGGAGCAAGTGCATGTGCTTTTAATGATGTCCTGAAGAGGGGCCCTGCCTGCCTGGGATCGAGGGGAGCTGTTTGTCTGGTATCCCAGTGCAGCGGCTGCTGAAAGGCAAGACCTTCCATTAGCTTAAGTAAGCATGGCAGGGGGGCTGACAGTGCATTCCCCAGAGTCGCTGTTGGAACCGGCTTTCTTTTTCTTTCCAGGGCATAGCAAACAGCTCTCCTGCCACGTTACAAACCCTGACTTCTAAAGTCTGTTTGGCCGCAATCAGCTTAACAATTGAGATACTTGACTTTCCTTTCCTTACTTTTACCTCCTAGTCATGTAAAATAGAGGATTCTATTCCAAGAGGGAAAGTTATAATAGCAATAAAATGAGAAATATAAGCTTAGGACAGTTTGTATTCTCGGGCTTTACTGTATACTTTTCAGTTTTCGGACAAAGCAAACTCTTTCCACAAACAAAACCACTTCAAGCTCCTTTCAGAAATGCGATTTGCCCTTGATAAGCCAAGGAGTCAATCAGCTCACCCTTTGCTGAGGAGTCTTCCGACTTTTAAATTGAGGATGAGTATTTGTTTCCAAACAAAGAAAAAACCTAACACCTCCATCTGGTGTATTTTCCTCATTGATTTGTGTTGTCCTACAATAAGATTTAAGAGCAGAAACAATGATTTGTTGCATTATACTTAAGGGAGACTTTTGGCTATCATTAGGTCATTATTTTTTGAGATAAGAAAGATTTTTAATTTGGCATAAGAAAAATAAGATTTTACTGATTTTATATTATCTCTAGTATCACTAATATTTTAACAAAAGGGTTCTTTTTTTCCCTTGTTTGCCAATAGTTATATTTACTTAATTATACAGTACTATGTAAAGATTTATTTAAAAGACCCATTGGGTCAAAGTGACAGATTAAAAGATAATTTTTAAGGTAGATTATAAGAAGCAGCCTAAAAAGATGAATATAGAAAGATTCCTGTTCAAAAGAGAACCGCTGAGGACATCAGTCCCTATGAAAGGGGTAAGTTGTGGCTGTGATGGTTCACTCAGTACATTGGACAGCTCCCAGAAACCGCCTATTTCTAACAGGTAATCTCAATTCATTTTGTTCTTCCTAGCCACTCGGTGTGTAACCAAAACAGTATAACTTTGAATTATTCTTCTTCTTCTTCCTCCTCCTCCTTCCTCTTCTTTCTTCTTCTTCTTCCTCCTCCTCTTCTTCTTCTTCTTCTTCTTCTTCTTCTTCTTCTTCTTCTTCTTCTTCTTCCTCCTCCTCCTCTTCCTCTTCCTCTTCTTTCTTCTTCTTCCTTCTTTCTTCTTCTTCTTCTTCTTCTTCTTCTTCTTCTTCTTCTTCTTCTTCTTCTTCTTCTTCTTCTTCTTCTTCTTCCTCTTCCTCTTCCTCTTCCTCTTCCTCTTCCTCTTCTTCTTCTTCTTCTTCTCCTCTTAGCCCATTTGTGTCTGGTGTCTCTCGATCATTTAATAGATTTTATCTTCTTTTGCTTGTGTTTACCCTTCATTCTCCGGTTTGCATTGTGATAACTCAGGCAGAGAATAATTGAAATTTGTGATCCCAGAAGATGTTAATGAAACTGAGATCTTGGATATTATGTCATTGAGTTTTCCTAAACTTCTTTCAAAGGGAAGGCTGAAAAAAAACTAATAGGTTTGTCAACAGTGGCTATGAAACTAGTAAATGGGAGAATTGATTTTTGTTTCAAAAAAGTACTGACATACTTTCTAACCCTTTTTTAAATTAATATGTTATTAAATACTTGGGCAAATTTATTGTTGATTTTTAAATTATGTTAAATGCTTCTCAGTGACTTATTTTTTTATTCCTTTACAACCCTATTTGCAAGTGGATTAAATACCTCAATCAAGTGAGAATCTAGTTTCACAATATAATACATCGGGGCACTTAATGAAGGAAAACATGGTTGATACTTAAATTTAAAATGTCATAAAATGGAGGTCAGAAGCTTTCACGAGACTCTAAAGGGACAGTTTCTTTGGACTGAACTCCTTTATGATTTTAGCCAAGGAAATGTCTCTCCCTCTTTTCTTTTCTTTTTTCTTTCTCTCTCTCTTTCTCCCTCCTTCCCTCCCCTCTCTTTTTCTTTATTTCTTTCTTTTCTTCCTTCTTTCTTTCAACAGAGTCTCACTCAGTTATGTAGGCTGGAGTGCAGTGATACAATCATAGCTCACTATGACTCAGACTCCTGGGCTCAAGCAACTCTCCCACCTCAGCCTCCTGAGTACCTAGGACTGCATGCACTGGCCATCACATCAGGCTAAATTGTTTTGTGTTTTAGAGAGAAGGTCTAACTATTTTGCTCTGGTCTCAACCAATCCTCCCACCTTGGCCTTCCAAAGTGCTGAGATTACTGGCCTGAGCCACTGCACCTGGCAGTGAATAGAGAGTTCAGTAATCATATCTCAAAAGGAACTGTAGCAAAAGTAATGGAAGGAGTGCCCAGAATTGTGTTGAAATACTGGTATGAACGTATTAAGAATTTTTAAAATGTCCTAGTAAGTACATCTACAGCAAATATTTTAAAACGTTTTTGTTTTTATTTCATCATAAAAATCCCAGGATAAACACTTCTGTTTATACCACAGTCATTTTGTTTATGTTACAAGGCTATAATCATGCTAGTATAATTAAAGCAAAAAATGTTAAAACCTAAATTATAATGAATGCTTTTCATTTATAATTATAGCTATATAATTAATAATTGTAATTATTTTATTTATAATTTAATTATAGCAAGAACAGTAAATTTATAAAGTACCAAGTGATGTTATAGTTCATCTCATTGGAAGGAACCATTATTTTCATTTCTAGATTTGAAAGTTAAGAGAGAGAGGTTTTTTAAAAACTCAACTGAGGACTCAAAGCAGCTAAGTTTGACCTTGATTCCTCTGGGTTCTAGGTCTACAGTTTATAGTTATTCAGTGACCTATAGGGAGGTGTTTATAAAAAGTTTGATAACTCCACAAATTTTGCTCAAAATATTTCAAGAAATGATTATGAAATGACAATCAATTTTGCTTATTTGATTATCTAGTTTATTTCTATTGACCATTCCCATTAGACATTAAACATTTTGTTTATACTATTATGTTAAGAATCAAAGCAAAAAAAAAAATGACCAAGAATAACTTGCACCATAATTCTCAAATGAGCTGAAGCCTGGATTTAAGGGTGCTAAGGGGAAAACGGTGAATAAATAAAGCATCCAGGGAGTAAAACAAATATATAAGTCCCCCAAATTTTTAAAACCCTACCTTTCCTTTTCTTTTTCTTGTCCTTTCCTTTATTATTCCAGAAACATGAACTTGTAGGGCAAATGATAAAGATATGACAAAGGTAGGTGTTTGTCATGATTGTAGGAGAAAGGCATAAGAAGTACTCCTTCTGCTGACCTGGAGAAGGGACCAGCGTCTTCTTTCTATTCAATTTCAAATTATGTATGTCATGGCTGATTTAGAGATAGAAGAATACATAATCACCTGTTTTGTTTCTTTCATTTCATATTTTACATAAACTTAATTTCGAAGTTCAGTGTATATGCTTTAAAATTCACAAATCATATCTGTGCAGCTTCATGAATTTTCAGAGTGAATGTATCCATGAAGCCAGTGCCCAAATCAAGAAATGGAATGCTTTCTTGAAGTTTGAGGTAATGTAAAAACAGATAAGCCTTAGGTTCATAGCTTGAGACTACTTCACAAAGTGAGCACACCCACGTAACTAGCACACAAGACAGAAAACAAAACATTACAAGCATCCCAGATGACCTCCCCCACAATTTTGTGCCCATATTCAATCATTAACCACATCTCAAGGTATTGCTATTTGATTTCTGAAGTTTTTGCCAATTTTTGAACATTTCGTACAAATAAATTATATTCTGGATATGATGTCTTTCAGTAAACATTTTGTTTATGAAATTTGTGCATATTATTCTCATAAGTGAATAATTTCACTGTGTAAATATACCACTATTTATTTGTTCTTTCCTTTTCTTGTTGATGAACATTTGGATAGTTTCCAATTTTTAGTTACTACAAATAGCAGTATCATGAAGTTATTGTACATAACTTTTGGTAAGCACAATTATCCTTTCTTGTTTGGGATACACCTAAAATTGGAATAGTTTATGCGTATGTTCGGTTTTGGTGGTTACTATCAAATTGTTTTCCAAAATGGTTGTAACAATTTACACTGTCACACATGATGTATTGGAGTTCCAATTTCTTCTCATCCTCACCAATACTTGCCAGTTTTTATCTTTTTAATTTAAGCTGTCTTAAAGATGTGTATGGGTATCACATTGCAGTTTTATTTGCATTTCCCTGATGATAAGTAAAATTGAGCACCATTTCATGTTGGCTGATTAGGTACTGGCTCTTTAATAAAGTACTGCTCCACTGTTTTTTGTGGATTTTTCTAATAAAAAAATGGATTTATATAAATATTCTGGGTATAAGTTCCATGTCATATATATGTACTGCACATATCTTCTCCCATCTCTTTGGCTTTCC